ACACATTATTAACGAGCCTTTGTCCCTGCTATAACCGATTGGGCTCCGATGAGGCCCTGTTATTGCCGATAACTTTTAATAGAGACAAAGAGTAGGAAGAAACGGGGATTTAAAAAATCCCTGTTATTTACTACCGCATCCCTGTTATTACCGGGCTGTTATATAATATGGTTTCCACTGCAGTAGTGCACTCAGTGGTAAACCGGAAGGGAGTGTATACAGACCCGGTAACCGGGAACAAAATCACTAAGTATAATATTCTGCTTACAGTCCCGGTAGGGGAAATCTTTTGTGAATTCGAGTCTCAAGGGCGGGAGCCCAGGGGATAATGATGTTAAGGTTCTTGGGAAGCGGAGACACTGTGGAAACACAGAGCTCTCTCCCTTAGACACCTCTGGATATAGCTGGATTTTTTCCAATGAAAGTGGCATGCATCTCGAGCTGTCAGTACATGTACCCAGTCAACCTCTCATTATCTCAAGACCGTTGTGCGTGAGCGAAGAGTCAGATCCTTCCAGAGGTGACACTGTTAACCTTACGGTTCAGGAACCGAACACTACGGATCTAGAGCAGACAACCTCGACAAAAAAAATCACTAAGACCAAGGTGTACCAACGTGCCCACGGGATGTGTGGCTGCGGGTTAGTCAGTCGCTTACGTGCGTGTTTGGTGGCCTTAAGAGCGGCGCCAAGCATGAATATGTCCCCTTCCCTGGTATGGGGCTCTGCCAAGGAGACAGTATACATCCCCAAGTTATAAAAACGCATCATGAATTTAGATTATATTTCTTTTAAAAGGGAAACGGTGCGGGAGCTAAGGAGATCCTGCTCCCTTGACGACGCTCCCAGCATTATCGCCTGAAAAGGTACCAAGGAGAAAGGGAAGGAGAGGAGGCTGTCGAAAGAAACGTTCCGGGATGAGGAAAAGTCGGATAAAATCACACAGGCTTAGAAACAAAAACCTAGCCATAATGCTACTGGAATTGCAGCAGTCTCAGGCAAAGAGGTCGAGACTTGGAAAAGCTTATCTATGAAACGGATATTATGATGCTCCAGGAGACGAACGTAGACAATTTTAAATGCCCTGGCTACAAGACCTGCACGAATCCATGTAGTGAGACCCATCATGGACAACTAATATTAGTCAAACAGGGCGTTACACACAGACTGATTGATGCAAAGCGATTTGACAGGGGGGGGGGGGGCAGGGATGTCCAAATTGTGGAGTGTGAGGTGAGGGAGAGGAAATGGACGCTTGTCAACATCTATGTGGGCAATGGGCAATAACAGTGCCAGGATCGAGGAAGATTGGGACTTCCTGGAGGAGCTCGGCCAACTGAGTGAAAGGAGGATGATCGTGGGGGACTTCAACGCCTGGAGTGTGACATGGGGAAATGTACACCATAACATTCAAGGAAAGGCGCTGGAGAAGGCGATGATAGAGAGCAGTTTTTCCATCCTCAACGGAACACACCTGACAAGGATTGTACAGCGCAATGGAGAGGATGATTCTAACGTAGATTTGGCATTGATTGCAGCAGGTTCGGGGTCCTTGCTAAATGACAGGCTCTGTCAGACCATGGGAGCGATCATCTGCCTTGTTCCGTAATGATCAATTGCCACTAGGGGAAGGATAAAAAATGCAAGATGAAAAAAACATTCACATATGGAAAGGACAGTGGCTCTACTGTGCTGCAGAAAATAAGGAGAAAGGTTTGGGCATCACGCACAACTAAATCATACTTTGTTCGGCCGCCTTTTTGGAATCCTGTACTTGAAGAGCTGCGGCTACTGAAGAGAAGGTCAACAAGAGCATGGCATAGGGCGAGGAAGTCAGATAAGGTATCAGATGAGGAGAAGAAAACTCTCAGAGAGCGGATGAACAGAGACGGACGGCTTTTCAAGGAAAGTGCAAATGAGCAGGCCTGTCGAGAGGGGGGGTCA